TTAATATAATGTTAATAGATTTGTTGGGGGTGAGTATTTGAGGTTTACAATTTATTTTTGTAGAAAATAGTGAAATTATTTTGTCCTTAATTTTTTTTTTAACTTTGGGCCTCTTTTTTTCTAAAGAGAAGTCATAGTTGACAAAAGGCATTGAGAATTTGAATAACTCTATAACATTTTGATAATAGCTGATATTTATATAACATTTTAAAGTTTTCAGAGTGTTTAACATAGAATATCCTCATAGTAACCCTGTAAAGTTTGTGCTGTAAATGGTGATCTCCCCATTGTATAGAATTAACAGGTTGAAAGAAGTTAAGTGACTTGTCCAGAATCACTCAAAAATAAAAGTCAGAGACAGGATTTGTGCTCAGGTCTTTTCTGACTGTAAGACAGGAACAGTTAATTACATTTTTTTCTCCAAAAAACATTTATTTATTTTATTAAAGGCCAGATCTTCTTAGCTTGCTGAAGCTAGGAGTGAAGAGGCTACTCTTGAGCTCAGTCTCACTTTGATCTGCACAAAAACTTTACCTTGCTCTGTTTCTGACCTGGGCTGATTTACACCTCCTTAGGCAACTTGGTGCTTCTCCTCCTTCCGTCTTTGTGCCCCTTACCCCATCCCAGGGCCTCACCATGTTAATGCCCAGCTTAGTGAAGACAACCTAAATTGGCCTTAAACTCAAAAGGTAGATGGCACCAGGGGCATTTGAAACAAAAATTATTAGTGCCTTTTTTATTTTTTCACATCATAGGCATTTCCTCATAACTAAGCCTATTCACTGGTACTGCCCCTCCCCTCCCTTTTTCTCCCTGTTTTAAAGAATAATAGGCCAAACCCAATCAATTCAGCAACTCTGTATGTAATACTTTTTACCCATAAAACTACACTTCTCTTTATTTGGAGTTATTGTGTATATTTTTCTCCTGGTTCTGCTTACTTCATTCTTCATCAGTTCATGTAATTTGTTCTATATGTGTCTCTAAGTTTTTCATACTCATTTTTAGAAATTTTTATTCTATTACATTTACTACAGTTCAGCCATTTGCCAATAAATAAGCACTTATTTTATTTGTAGGATTTTATTTATTTATTTTTTGCTGCCACAGAAGTATTACTGTGAATATTTTATCACTTGTGGAGCTCTTTGGTCTATGTTTGATCTCCTTGATATGTGTGTGTGTGTGTGTGTGTGTGTGTGTGTGTGTGTGGTACATATATACACATACATATGTACATGTATGCATGCCCAGGAGTGAGATCATAGGTTATGAATAGTTAGTAACTTTCTAGAATACTCTTTTCATTGTACCATGCTGTCCCTGGATTGTGGCTCCACACGTGAAAACTCAGAAAGGAATTAGCATCGAAAGGCTATTTATAAGTCTAAGAAGGTCATAGAGAGAAATAAGTTAAGTATCATAATTTCCATTAATGTTTTCAGATTTCCATTTAATATAGTATACAAATCAAAAGATGTTTTAGGATAGTAATATTAACAGACCATAGCAAGGCTATAAAATGTAAGATAGTACTTTCGCTTTCAGCAAGTAGTTTTGTAGTTTGATTTTAGATGAACTGGAAATACCCCATATTTACCTAGTAGCTTAGATTTAGTTATGATTCTCATTTTCTTCAAAGTCTTGATTCGGTTAAAGAAAAACAGGTAAGATTAAAATAACTTTATTCAGCAAAGTGTCATTTCCTCAGAAACTGATAGAACTTAGTTGAAATAAAGCCATGTTCAAATTGAAATGATCATACTAATTATACTAGTTTTAGAGTACTTTCCATTTTATAAAGAGCACTATAGTGCTCGTATAAAGGTTCTGTGCTATGGGGCTAGCTTATCTATCAAACTACATATTAACAAGGTCTTTAGTACTTATATAATGAAATTTATTTGGATTGGTTCCAAAATTAATCTAAATGAATGGTGTTATAGTCACATTTCTTTAGAAAAATTCTCTTTCCTTTGAATCTTTGTAACCAGTTGAGATCTTCCTAGGCTGTTTGATTCCTGTGGATATTGTGTTTAACAAAATGAGATTTGAAAAAGAATTAAGAAGTCTGGGGGAAAAAGTATAGTTACTAACATTTTTTTCCTTCTTGGTTACCTTTTGTTTAGCTAAAGATATATCTTAATTCCACAGGAAAGCACAGAACTGCTCATAGACCACATTCAAGACCAAAAACTTCAGATGTTTTTGAAGCAGAGTTTGTAGATGATCCAAAATCCAAGGGTAGTTTCCTCAGTGAGAAGGAACTGTGGGATCGACTCGATGAACTGGAAAGACAAGAAGATCTTTTGGGAGAACTCAATAAGTATGTAGAGGCAAATTTTGCCTCAAAATGATAATCTTGCCATCTTTACTTAGAATATAAGAATATAGACCAAATATGACATAGTGATATCCCATATGTTTTATAGAAAATTTTTTCACATAGCATTGGGCAATTTCTCTTTGAATTTTAAGAATAATGGCTTTGAATATGTTTGCTACTATAAAATGTTTAACTGTGCTTTCTTTCTGTCAAAATTTCTGTTTAATTAGCAGACTACTAATAATCTGGTCAGGTGTTTATATATGAGAAACTTTACTAAGTGGCTGTTTAAAACACACATTAGCACCCACTTAGAATTGTCAAAGTGCTAAATGAAGTCTCTTACCACAGAAGCTCCTACTTTATTTTACTTAAATGATGGAATATATGCAGTAATTAGTTTCTTTGAAAAATAGGACACAATCCACATGAGGTAGGGATTTTTTATAAGTCATCCAGGAGTTTAGTTCGTGTGTTCTTGGGCATTTTTCATTAATTGATGATATAGTTTAAAAAATCTTTTTAGCATAAGGGTTCTCAACCTGGGATTCTTGGTGTCCTTGAATTTGAATGGGAGAAAAATAACATCTTTATTTTCAGTCACTTTGTTTTTGTATTTTATATTTTTTAACTAACTTTATTTTCACTGATATTCAAAATTTGCTATTACATTTGTCCATCTATAGTGTATGTATCTCTTATCTGTCAGTCAAAGATGAGGACAGTATTAACCTTAATATTTAAAATGTGTACTTAATGAACAGACAGCTATCTAAATTGTGATTGAACACCAGTAATGTCCAATACAAGGTATTTTTCCAGCTCTTAATGATTTTTTTTTCTTTTAGTAATTTTTTTTCAATTAACAATTTTTTTTCTCTCCCCACCCCAACATCTTGGGGAAAAAAAAAGAAAAAGAAAACCCTTGTGTGAAATATGCATAGCTAAGTATAAAAGATTCCCACATTGGTCATGCCCCAAATCATATCTTATTCTGCAACCTGAGGCCATCACCTCTCTTTCAGGAGGTGGGTATTTTGTTTCACCATAGGTTCCTCTATAATCAGGGCTGATCATTGAGTTGATCAAAGATATTAAGTGTTTTAAAGTTGTTTGTTTTTCCTGTGTTGTTTTTATTGATAATCCTGATTATTGGTTGTTTACAGTGTTGATATTATTGGTTTTCCTGGTTCCCCTAATTTCATTCTTATCAGTTCATACATGTTTTTCCAGATTTTTCTGAAACTATCTTTCATCATTTCTTATAGCACATTAAATCCATTACATTCATATAGCATAATTTGTTCAACCATTCCCTAATTAATGGGTTATCCTTCATTTCTAGTTCTTTTCTTGGCCACCACAAAAAAGAACTGCTGTTAATGTTTTTGTACATATAGTCCCTTTTCCTCTATTTCTTTGTTCTCTTGAGTATCTAGTAGTATCAGTGGGTCAGATGGTATACAAAATTTAGTGATTTGTTAGTTGTAACTCCAGATTGCTTTTTCACACTAGCCCAGTTCTTAATTCTCTGGAAGAATTAAGCACTTGGTTACTTATCATAAGTAGAAAATGATACATAGAATTTTCAGGTATAATCTATTAAATATCAACCCACAAAAGTATGTGTGTGTAGTTAAGTTTATTTGTATTTATGATACACATTTAAATATATATGTTTGTTATCAATTTTACTATATATTTTTAATGTTAAATTATGTATATATTTTATCATTTTTTTCTTTTTTCTACAGAAAATCTGATACTGTGTTTGTAAATGGAGATGATATAAGCTCTTCTGAAGAGGAGAAGGAAGATCAAAAGACAGCTGTGACTGTGAAACACAGAGTAGCAGACTCTCCTACTCAGGGCAGTTTTCAAAAGGACATTACAGATTCGAAGTTACTTAATGGTCACATGAATGGTTCAAGTTCTTACAGTGATGATGATGATGGTAGTGGTGGTGATGATGATGATGATGATGATGATGATGGTGGTTTAGGAGTTGGAGATAATTGTGTACCAACTATATATTTTTCCCATACAGTTGAACCTAAGAGGGTTTGTATGCTTTACTTATTCTCAATGTAGAATATTAATTATATAATTTGTAATTTTATTTGTATTTAGAGATACAGTTTCTTTATACATTTCAGAGTTCTAAAACAATTAGACTAGTTTTTCTCACTTAGCGTAAAAATAATTTGTTTGGATTGGTTCATTAGATTCATACCTCCAACTAAATACGGGGCTATGTGGACCTGAAGAGACTTAAGACCTCTAGAGGTAACAATCCTGTCTCTGTAAAGAGGACATGCTAAAAATGTCAGAGATAGTCCTGTTAAGGTAGTTGTATTGGTGAATTTAGAAAATTGCAAGAGTCTCCCTTAATTGTACTTAGTTAAACTTTTAATTTTATTACTTGATGTATAAAAATGAATCAGCAAGTAGTGGAAAATTTTATGGTGAATTTAGTTTCCTCTCCCATTTGGAAATAAATGGATACATCTTTAAACCTCTATTTGAATTTTAAAGGTTTTCAAGTTGGGGGGAACCTTAGAGATTATTGAGTTCATCTTATCTCGAAGATGCGGCATCTTAGACCCAGAGCAGGAGAGTGACTTGGCTATGGTCACACCTATATTCTATTGCAAACCTGGGGCTTGAAAGCAAGTTACCTATTTCCCAAGTTTAGTGTGCTTTCTCTTAGGTCAAAACATCTCTAAGAATTGTCACAGCCTAGCAGAAAACTAGTAAAGTATATCTGGAAGCCATGTGAGCTTTTGGATTTGTTACCTGTATTTCCAAATAAAACATGATGATCCATTTGCTTTGCTTATATTGTTCTTAAGGTAGCAAACCAGTAATTTTACAAGGTGTCCCCTGTATTCCTAGGGCTCATTTCCTAAGTTCAAGATTCTGAAGTAAAACAATGTAATTATACTAAATCTATGGAAAATTGAGTATGGATTGATTAGAAAAACAAATTTTGAATGTATTTGCATGTAGCATTTCTAGTCTTAACTCCAACTCTCCTTGTTTCCTAGTGTTAAAATTAGGCAGGGAATTGCATTATTAGTAAGTAGTTATTGATTTATAAAGTACTATGTAAATCCAGAATAGGATTATGAGGTTTTTAATGTGTTAATCTTAAATTCTTCCTGACCAGACCCTAATACTTTGAAATGTAAAATTCTGTTTTTTATACTCTGGAGTTTTAGTAATTGAATTATTTGTCACAGCTTGTACTTTTTCATGCATTAAACCTGATAATATTCTGATTGAATATTTCTTTTGATCAGTGAGTTCCTTTTCCTGTCTTCTCCATTTTGAAATTCATGAATTTTGAAGTCATGAATTTGTACAGAAAGTAATGGTATGGTGTTAAATGTTAAACTTAAAAGCTCAAGCATTATGTATCTTTTATGTAATAATAAATTAATTGGAAGTTAAGTTCCTGGAGTGATTAAAGAATACATATATTTATGTTAGGGATGTGGTATATGTCTCAGAACCTTTTCTACTATGGTAGGGATTTTTTTGACCCTTTGTGTTAAAGCACATGAATTTTATGCAGTGTCAGAAGATAGGAATTGACACTGCTGCTGTTGTTATTATTCATAACTTACCCTGGTGTACTACATTTCACAAACTCCTATCTTCACTATATAGATCTCAATTTATACTCTCTTATTTTTGTTTTCGTGTGTGTGTGTGTGTGTGTGTGTGTGTGTATAGGTACGAATAAATACTGGGAAAAATACTACTTTAAAATTCAGTGAAAAGAAAGAAGAAGCCAAACGTAAACGGAGGAATAGCAATGGCAACAGTAGCCATTCTATTCCAGAACTTCCCAATATCAGGACTCCTGCTGATGTTTATAGGTACATGATTTATAGTTAAAGGGCTTATTTCCCCTCCTTGCTTTATTGTAGTTGTGCTTTTAACAGGAAAAGTGGTGTGTGTATTACATGGGGCCACCCATGTAATCACCTGAAAGATAAGGCGCTCTTGTGGGTTTGGCCCGGCACTCTGAAGGTTCCTTAAGGAGCTGGTGATTGGCCAGAGCCTCTAATCAGAGGCGGTCGTAGAGTGTTGTGTGGTGTCTTCCTCACTTGGGTGATACTTTTGTAAACGTTCTCAATTGATGCAATTGAGTGAATCTTGTGTCTAAGCTGGAGATACATGGATTCTTCATCTGTTACCTTTTTACAGAGTTGAAGTTGATTGTAGTTAATTCCTCCAGTTTGTTTATTGGGGTATTTGGGAGGCAGTGTGATGCTATAGATTGAGTTATGGCACTTGGAGCCTGGCAGACCTGTGTTCAGACCCCGCCTCTGATACTTGCTAAAACCCTGTGATCTTGGGAATCACTTGCTTACGTGTCTCCTTCTCTAAAATGGGGATAATACCCCAAAATATGTACCTCATTGTTAGTAGGCTAAAAAGAAACTCTTGAAGTTTAAAAAAATAAGGATTTTATTTTGATCTTCATGATCTACGTTTATAAAATGGTGAAGATTGTCAGGTGTCTGAGTATTATCTGAAGTATCTAAAATTGTTACACATGAAGTTGTTGCCATTTAGAATATGTTTATAAAGTATGCCATTTTGCATTAGGATAGAAATTCTGCCTTTTCAAAATAATGAAATACACATTTTGAGATATTTGTCAAGTTTCAGATGAACCATAATTATAAAAATTACTGGATATTAAAAGTTGGACTAGTAAATTCAAATTGTTATGAAATACTAGGATTTAAAAAAAATTGTCATGAGATTCTTAAGTAGGTTAAAGTGTGTATTTTCCTTCATGTCATAGAGTCTTTGTTGATGTTGTAAATGGAGAATATGTCCCTCGTAAATCAATTTTGAAGTCTCGGAGCAGAGAGAATAGTGTGTGTAGTGACACCAGTGAAAGCAGTGCTGCTGAGCTTGAGGACCGACGAGGAGCGATGAGGAGCCTTAGTCAGGATGAAGCTGCCTGCCCTGATGCCAGTGAAGGCATTTTGGAGGAGCAAGAAAATCAACAGAAAAAGCTGTTACCCCTGTCAGGAAAGCTTGAGGTATCGTTTTCTAACACGTGATTGGTTATGCATGGTCCTTATGTAAAATCATCAGCGTGTTTATTAGATAAGGAGAATCTGAATTGGTACGGTCCCTGTTTTTCAGTGATAGATAATTTACTTGCCCTTACTTGTACAGTGTCAATTCTTGGACTTGTCTTAAAACTCAGCCTTGTTAGACTGCCCTCTTTTGTAAGGTGTTGTGAATTCTCAGTCTTCAAATCTTATTCTATTTAACTTTTTCTTTTTTTTTTTGAAGAAAATTGATAGTTTTTTGATAGTTTTTTTTTTTAACTGTTTATGACGCCTTAAACCTTGCACTTACATCCTCACCAGTCATTATCCATTGGACATGGCATTGCTTAACCTCTCATTTGAGATAAGATTTTTCTTTTTTAAAGCTGTAGTCATAGGGCCTAAATTTTTCTTGACCTTTTTGGTAGTACTTTATAAAAAATTAATAGCTAAAAAGTGTCAAAGAAAGAGTTCAGAACTAAGTAAATTTCTTCTTTGTTCTGAATTTTACCTTAAAATATTTGAAAATTTGAAGTAAGAATTCTTCCTAGTAAGTAGAATTTATAAAGGTGCTTACAGATGAAAGTTGTTATAAAATTCATTAGTTCAAGGATCTTGGTAATGTCATTTCCTTTTTCTGGGTTCAGTTTTCTCACCTGTCACTGCAGGGGAGGGGAGTTGAACTAGATGCTAAAAATATCTTTAGATGTCAGAATCTACAATTTTACCAAATGTCTTCAGCATATTGCATGTTATTTTTATTGTTGAAAAAGTTTTAATTGCTAATAAAATATATATCTTCACAGATTGTAGTTACTCGGGGCTAGTTCTCTCTTTTTTTTTTTTTTTTGGGGTGAGTCAGTTGGGGTTAAGTGACTTGCCCAGAGTCACACAGCTAGTTAAGTGTTATGTATCTAAGGCCACATTTGAACTCAGGTCCTCCTGACTCCAGGGCCGGTGCTCTATCCACTGTGCCACCTAATTGCCCCCAAGGCTAGTTTTCTTAATATTAACTCAAGAGTACTTGGATCTCTAATCTGATATTTCAGACAGAAATATCTTCTGATGGTGCAGGTCACAACTTAATCTTGTTCTCCCACAATTTTGCCACTGAGAGCCTTCCTCAGTTCTCCTTGACATTTTGAGGATATCATTTGGAACAAACCAACTGTCAATAAGTTATGCCTTTACTCTTTCTATACGACCTATCCCCTTTTTTTGTTTTGGTTTTTTTTGTTTGTTTGTTTGTTTTTGATCACCCATTTCTGTGATGACGTCTTTTATTCCAATTCTCCTTTTAGTTGCTTGTTTGTAACATAAACCCACCATATTCCTCTCTCTTGTCCTCTGGGTAATATTCATTTTTTACTGGTTTTGAGTATTTATTTAATGTTTTATAACTTTCAGCCATACAATAGTATTTATAGAATATTGGCATTAAAAAGATAGATTTTTATTTTTGGGAAAAGTTTGAGGTCATTCAAGGAGCTTTGTGGTTTCCCAAAGACTATCTTATCTAGCCCACTCTTCTTATCTTCAGTGCTGGGTCAAATTCATCCGTTTGTATTGTTTGTCCAGTATATTTATGTATATATGTTGGTGCGTGTGTATGTGTATATGTACTTCTGTGTATATGCATACAATGTATATTTTTATCTACATTAATAGATGAGTACTTTATTAGACTATTTAAAATTTCAGTATAAAAATGTGTGGAAGAAGTGCCTCTAAAAGACCATTTTACCTAGACCCTCTTTTTTTTTTTAAGATTTTTTTTATTAATTTATTTTGATTTATCAGTAATCACTTCCATGTGCTTTTGAGTTTAAAATTTTTCTCCCCCTTCCTCTCCACCACCCTCCCCAAGATGGCACACCATCTGATATAGGCTATACATTTACATTCATATTAAACATGTTTTCGCATTAGTGATGCTGTAAGTTAAAATTAAAACCAATAGGAGGAACCATCAGAAAGAGGAAACAAAACTCGACAGAAGAGAAAAAAAATAGTAATTCAACTTCCATAGTTCTTTCTTTGGATGTGGATGGCATTTTCCATCACAAGGCCTCTGGAGATGTCTTAGATCCTTGTATTGCCAGGAAGGGTTAAGTTTATCAATATTAGTCATCACACAATGTGGCTGTTATTGTTTACAAGATTCTTTTGGTTCTGCTCACTTCACTCAGCATCAGACCATACAAGTCTTTCCAGGTTTTTCTGAAGTCAGCCTGTTCATCATTTCTTATAGCACAATAGTATTCCATCACATTCATATACCACAACTTGTTCAGCCATTCCCCAATTGATGGGCATCCTCCCAATTTCCAATTCTTTGCCACCAAATAAGAGCTGCTGTGAATATTTTTGTACATGTAGGTCCTTTTCCTGTTTGTGTGATCTCTTTGGGATGTAGCCCTAGAAGTACTATTGCTGGGTCAAAGGGTATGCACGTTTTTATAGCCCTTTGGGCGTGGTTTCAAATTGCTCTCCAAAATGGTTGGATCATTTCACAACTCCACCAACAATGCATTAGTGTTCTAATTTTCCCACATTTTCTCCAACATTTATCATTTTCCTGTTTTGTCATGTTGGCCATTCTGATAGGTGTGATGTGGTACCTCAGAGTTGTTTTGATTTGCATTTCTCTAATCAATAGTGATTTAGAGCATTTTTTCATATGACTATAGATGGCTTTAATTTCTTCATGTGAGAACTGGCTGTTCATATCCTTTGACCATTTATCAATTGGTTACCTAGACTCTTTAAATTAGACCTGTGTCCTATGTAAAAATAGAGTACAAGGTGAAATAATATTTTATTTAAATTTCACTTAATGGATTTTGTTTAGATGCACTTGAGATTTTCTTTTTCCCTAGACATTTAGGAAAATCATTGAACTTGGATCTGACATTGCATACTTTCCAGCAACTGACCTGTATTGTGTAGTTTTAGTTGCCTGAGGGCACTGAAAGGTTGTATTATTTTACTTTCCTAGGTATGTTCATACTGTATGTGAGACTCAGGACTTGAACCCATGTATATCAATATTTTTTTCTTGCACACATGTACATACATATCTGTACATGTATATACACACATTTATATGAGAATACATCTGTGTTCCTCTACTAATATGCTCTTCTGAGGACTCATTTTGCCTGTGAGGTTTTTGAGGGCTGTTTTAGTGGAATTTTTAGCCTTTGGTAGGTCCTACCAAACTATATATTGATCCTGAAAAGAATCATGGTACTCAAGAACCAGTCTAGCTAAGTATAGAGGCCTTACCCTAAGAAGGTTGGCTATCAGATGACAAATTTTTTTGGCCACCACACTCATGAAGATTCTACTCAGGTGTAGGAGGGACCCTAATTTTCCTGACACGAGATTCTTTAAGTATTGAAGTATGTTTTTCTGTCTGATTTCATAAAAAACACATGCATGTGTGCATGTTTCTTGTAGCTAGGTACTACTGTGCATTGAGTGACTGGTACATTCAGTTTTTAAGGGAATTATATAAGAAATGTTTTTAAACTCATGGTCTACCTGTGCTTTAGATAGTACCTTAACAAGTTAGGGCCTCTAAGGAATTGGAAAGTAGCATTTACTTTTGCTGTTTTGCAAAACTCAAAAAATTAAAACTTTTGAAGTAGTTCATAATTTTGGGGATAGCACTAAAATCAGGAACTTATTTAAATTTCATTTGTATTAGCTTTGCTTTTCATGTGGAACTGTCAGAGTAAGTAGTATTAGGGGCAGCTAAGTGATACAGGGATATAACGTTGGGCCTGGAATCAGGAAGACCTGAATTCAAATTCAGCCTTAGAGATTTACTAAATGTGTGACCTTCGGTAAGTAACTTAACTTTTGATTCCCTCTTCAGTTTCCTTAACTGCAAAGTGGGCATAATACCCTACTCTGAGAGTTGTGAGAATCAAATGAAAATCAGTGCCTGGCAATTAGTAGATATTATATAAATGCTAATTGTTGTTATTAGTTAGTAGTAGTAATAGTAGCAGCAGTAGTGGTAGTAGTATCATCTAGATATAAAATTCAACACTGAAAGGATTAGTTCATAGTTCTGGCAGATATTTTCAAAGTAAGTTTTCATTATCTGTTTAATGTAGAATTTTGGCTGTTTCTCAAAAGTTTTTATTATAATAGATAGGTTCTTGCTCATATTGTGAAATAGCTTCTGGTTAAAAGAAATCCATAAAAAGTAAGAGTATGTTTTGAGAACTTTCCACAAAGCAGTCCTAGACTTCCTTTGAAGTGCTCATTTTTATGTATAATATATAATTGGCTTAAGTAATATTTCTCACCTTTGGTTGAAAAGGAAACAAAACTTGTGGTTTGGCAACTTCTATCAAAATTCAGCTGGAAGAAGGCTAAGTTACCAAGTTATAAAAAGTTTTTTAAAAACATTGAGTAGTTTTCAAAAAATACATTTTTATACTACAGGATGAAACTTCCCCTGTGTATGTGTGTTAAATTATGTAGCCTCAGTTTTATAAAAGGCAATTTATAGTTAAGAATGTTTAAAGATGGTGTTTTTAAGGATACTTACATAGAACTTGTTCAAAGAATTCTGTTTTAAACTTAATTAAAATTTTGACTATATATGTTAAATTGCCATTGATTTTTTTAAAGGTAGTTCATTTGGTTAAAATAATATGGACCTTAGAGACTTAGCACATTTGCATTTTGTTGTTTCATCTTGATTTTTTCCTTCCTTATAGGCTTTTTCTGGAACTGTAATAGAAAAGGAACTTTTATCTCCCGTAATACCACACCCAGGCACTGTGCATCCTGTGTTACCAACCATACCTGAACGAAAAGAAGTTTTGTCAGAAGTATCAGAAGAAACTACAAAAAGGATTTCAAAATTCAAAGCTGCCAGATTGCAACAGAGAAACTAGGCCTGCCTAGAAAATGGAAATTTGCATCTTAAAGCACAGTTTTGCAATTTGTTATGAATGTCAGTTACATGTAGTTAGGAGTAGTGCATCCAATGTTATTTTGGCAGCAAGTTCTTTTTCCCTCTTCATCAGTGGTATTTAAAAAGATTAAAAATAAATGTTTGAATACTTGAATATTCGCTTTATTTTGTTAATTTCTCTGTATGCTGTCAGTACCTTTGTCTAGGTTTGCTTCATGAATGCAGTAGCAGCATTTGGAATTATTTTTCAAAGAATACTATTCACATGCATTGTTTTTGTGTTTCAACCTAAGTACAGGCAGTTTTTTACCAGCTGTGATGTTCTACATACCATATGGACCATTTTAAAGAAACTTTAAAAATTTCAAATGGATTCAACAATTATATTTCATTACTTGCTTTAGCATTTTAAAGACAGTTTTGTATCTACATTGTTGTAGGTTTTGCAAATAGGTGGCTGTTTCAAAATTTGTTTCTTTTCCCCTTCTAGTAATTTCTCTTATAATGTAACAATCTTTGAGGCAGAAAAACTGTCTACTTACTGTAGAGGGAAGTTTCTTTGATGGAAAAATGGTATTTTGTAAAATAGAATTTTTCAAGTAAAAAAAATTATGAAATCTATGGTCTCTAAATCTTTATTTTGTAACTTGTGGCTAAATATTGAAGCTCTATTATTCACATATCCACTATATATGATGTACACTGTCTACTTAAAGTTCTTATAGTTCCATAGTCACTTTTCTTCCCTGATGCATGTAACTTCCAATAATTGTTAATTGGGGGTCATATGTTGGGAAAGAGAAGAATTGACTAAAAGGCCTGAAGAGATTCTCTTGAAGGAATTCTTGTGGTCTGATATTCTAAACATTTTCCTTCTCTGAGGTTACTTTTCTAGCAGTAAGTAACTGAAGTAAAATATTTACTTTTAACACAACTATCTAGAATGAACCGAAATGTATTTTAAATGTATTGAAAATTACATTGCAAGTGTTAATCATTAGCTTGATGCAGGCTAAAATGTGGCTTTTTAAAAAGCAGGCTGCATTAGTACTAAAATAAGTCATCAATGCCAGTCCACCCTCTATTCATGACTAAATATTTAAAGGAGGTTATTTATAGCTTCTTTAATGAATTCTTGGCTAAACAAAATGAAATTATGTCCCAGAAAAGTAGAAGCTATTTTGTAACCAGAACAGTGCGAACTGCAAAATAGTTTTATGAATAATTATTTTAAATAATATAGGATTGAGATCTAATGCTGGTAGACATGGGTAAATGAGAGCAGGAGCCTACTCTTAGTAATTTTCCCTTAAAAAAAAAACCCAAACATTTGTCATTTAGTAGTTTTGATCAAGTGATCATTTAATAAATTTATACAATTCTTAGTTCCCTGATTACTGTAAGGGAAAGGAGCCTTTGTTACAGTTCTCTTTTGGGGAGTATAATAGTATTCCTCATACACATGAATTTTCTTTTCAAAATGCATTTTATTGATACTTTCTTTTTTTATATATGATACTTATCCCAAGTATCCCTCCTTTTCCCCCTCCCAGAGAGGGGAACAAATTTTAGAGAGAAAAAAGTCAGTGCAATTGATTGATATATTGAAAACATGTAAAAAGTAACACCTGTGGACCTCCCACCTCTACCTAGGGGTCTGAGGGTGTCTTCATTAGAGACCTGCTTGATCTTCATAATTTTGTTATTTGATCTTCATAATTTTGTTACATTTACTTTTGATTTTTTTGGGGGGTGCATCATCATTCTTTCCATTTACATTATTGTAGTTACTGCATATGTTGTTTTCTTGGCTCTGCTTACTTTACTCTGCATCAATTCATGTAGATCTTTCCATGCTTCCCTATATTAATCACCCGCATTTCTTACAGCACAGTAATATTCTATTATATTCATGTATTATAATTTTTTTAACCATCCCCCTATTGATAGGCATCTGCTTTGTTTCCAATTTCATAACTATCACAAAAAGTGTTACTACAAATATTTTGGAGTGTGTGGGGACTTTTTCCCTTATCTATGGCCTCCTTGAGGTATAAACTCAGTAGTGAGGGGAGTCTCTCTATTTCAAAGGGTATGAACATTTTAGTTGCTTTATTTGCATAATTAAAAACTGCTTTCCAAAATGGTTGTACTATTTTACAGTTCTACCAGTAGTGCAGAGTGGGTAGCCTTCCAAACCTTCCCTCCCCTAACTTTGACGGTCGCCATTTTTTGTCATTTTTGCTAATTTGCAAGATGTGAAGTGAAACATGAGGGTTGTTTTGATTTGCATTTGTATTAGTAATGATTTTTGGAACATTTTTTTCCTTTGCAATTCTTTTGAGAACTGTTTGTTCACATCCTTTGATTACTTATCTTTTGAAGAATGGCTATTAGTCTTACATATGTATTCAGACATTAATATTTAAGGACAACTGGATTTTATACATTACTTACAGATGATCATGAAGTCTTGAAGTGACTGGGGGATCCAGAAGCCAATTTTAAAGCTACTTCCTGTTTGTGTAGGTTGTGTTTCTTCTTTGAAACCTTGTCTCTCTCCCACAAAGAATAATAAAATAGCTTGAAAACACCATACAATTGTGTAGCAACACGTTACATTGTGGCTGCCAAGGATCTATTTGCTTTTGAAGAAGGTAGCTGCACTTGTCCCTTTTCAGAAAGGTCTAAACTTGAGAGTTTAAATTGTACCTTCATTTTTAATACCCTAAAGCAGCAAGTTAAAAAATGCTACAGATAAATTCCAATGGATAGGTAGCATTAGGTGAAAAGTAAGACTTACTGTGTTCTAGTCCTACTTCCTATGGTGGGTTTGGGTAAACAACCCAGTACCTCTGTTTTCCCATCTGTAAAATGAGACTAAACCTAAAATTACCAAGTATCTACTGTGATTCTATATAAAAAGTATTGTGCTAAGAACCAAGTAGTCAAAGTAATGGACCCTGCCCTTAAGGAGTTTACATTCTTTTGGGGGATTGGGAACGTTGCAGAGTGTATAAAGAGTATGTATATAAGTAACTGATAAATTCAAAGGAGTGCTCCAGCAACTGAGAATCTTTAGGAAGAGAAGATTGACTTTGTCTGGGCTAGGTATGGGTGAGGAGCTAATTGAAGGCTTCATGGAGGAAGCAACTATATTGGACTTTGGAGGATGGTTTAGTTTTGGACTAAAGTGCTGTAGAAATGTAAGGTCATTTTGTGTGTGTGTGTGTACATACATGTGCAATGCAGTCACTAAACCTCAGGTGCCTTTGGCATAATCGAAGAAAGCTTGATTTATATACTTATATTGACTATAGCTTTAATGGAAAATATCTTTGCATTCCAGTTCTTTGAAAATTGAGGATATGATTGCTGTCTTGTTATCAAAATACCCTATTTTCTAACCAGAGAATCCAGTTACAAATTTTTTGCCAATTTTTTAGTTCAGAGAATTACCATTAATAGATGATTACAATTTTAGTTCCCTTAGAGAGCCTATGGAATAGGATTCCTTTGTTACCTGTTTATTGGCTAACAGGATAGGCAGGATTCATAGGAGTATATGTTACTTATAGTGTTCCTGGAAAAAAATATTGTAGCCTTAATGATTAGAACTTTCCTATGACAACAAGATAACTATCCAAATTGGGAACAGCTTTTAAAATTTTATTTCCATAGTGATTCAGAGGGTTTTTTTTTGACTTAGAGATTGCAGAGACTGGGCTGTGTATATGAAAGAACTAAAGATTATTCAGTTGAAGAAAAATAAGGTATAAAGGTCTTAGTATTAAGGATGGAGCCAGTAAGTTTGACCTCACACAGGAATTCTTAATTGTGCTATGTTTGAGTGAGAAGTGCAGTGACTAATATTTGAGGCACAGATGTTTTGGGAGGTTGGAGCAATCTGTTAAGAATTGGGGCAGTCCTTGCCAATGTGGCTTTGGTGTCTGGGCTGATAAACTTGGGAGGTTATAGGGTGAGGGGAAAGAGATGAATTGATGAAAGATTCCATTTTCATGTGAAAATGGTCTATTTTTGTGAAAATAGAGGAAAAACTAAATTTTTTATGATTTAACACTTTGTCATTCTGATATGTGAAAGGCATTATATAGATTGGATCTTCCTGTAATAACAGAAGCAAAAAGGAGGTCAAGGGATGCTTTAATGTGTGGCGTATTTGGGGAGTTTTGCCAACTACCAAATGCTAAGTATGGATGCTATTCTAATAGATAAATGTTTTACTTCAGGAATATGACATTTGTAAACACTGCCCTTTTCCTGGAGAAAGGTGTATTTTAACAACAAGATGTAATTATATACAAAACATATTTGAAAATTAGGTAATAACATAAATAAGCATTTGTGGATATGAGTGCTATGTTAGTCACATAAGCATACAGTTTGTAGTAATGAGTTTGAAGGTTTAAAAAATAGGGGTTCAAGTAGCTTAATTGGTTCTCTTTTGGCCTTCCATACAAGTTTTATAGCTGTGAAATGGATTTTTTTTCATTCCTCCCCCAGCCCCCCCGTATTACTAACTAATGTAGCTTCTGATTTCTTTAGCCAGTATTGGGCTTCTTAACATTTGGTTTGGCATATAGTTTAAGAAAGGTTATAAAAATTAGTTTGGGCATCATTAAATAGGTATATTCATGAGGAGAGAACTAGTTAAAAGGAACTAGGAACAAGGATCTGGGCAAACATTTCTGAAAAACTTGGAAAATTATCTGGAAATTTTAAAATGCAGTTCTCAAAGACCAGATAATTATTTGTAATTTCTGGAGACTATATTAGGCAAATGAGCTAACATTGGGTTGGTGATGTTAGAGGAGATAAGATAATTTTAGAGTTTATTTTCTGATGGTAAATATCTAATGGTTAGAGCATAGCATGTGGAAGTCTATGTTGTTATAGACCTAAGTGACAGTATTGTCAGGATAACAGAAGCTAGGGAATTTGTGGGGTTTGATTTCTCACAAAAAGTTTTGAACACAAAATAAGAACACTACAAAAGTGCTATGTATTTTTCTCTTTTGACTTAGAAATTAGAGTTCCATCCTTGCAAAATTTAACGACCTTTAGGAACCTTTAGAGCTATTTGACTTTTCTCTTTTTCCACCTGAAACGAACGAAGTCTCTTGGCTTTGAAAA